GGGGGGCCCGCGCCCGCCCGCTTCTCCCGCCCCTCCACAGCCGGCCTGCAGAGAGAGGCCCCGGGGAGGTGGCAGCCGGCCTCCCCCGGGGGTAGGGGAGATGGCCAACAGCCAGTGCCTGAGGGTGCCCCACGCTGGCTGTCACCCACCCACAGCCTGCGCTTCATTCATGTGCCACCCCCGGAGGGACACCAGCAGCACCCCACCCACGCAGGAGCCACAGCCGCAGAGCTCTGGTGGGGAAAGGCAACCAGGACACACTTCAAGGGGCAGCCGGCACTTTCCCACCCTGGCCACAGCTGCGCGGGGCTCTGCACACCTGCAGTCGCTGGTGGATCGGTCCCTTTCGGTAACTGGAGCAGCGTGTGCTTTCACTGGGAACGGGGAGAGGTTCCAGGACAGGCCCCGTGGAGGCTGCGGGTGTGTGTACTCATGTTTCCCATGTGACTGCGCATCCTTCTACCTTTGTGTGTTTTAGGCCGCAAGCCTAATACTTACCTGGCAGAGGAAACGCTGTGTATCTGGTCCAGGAAGGCAGTTTTCCTTCAGTGTTCCCTGAGATAACTGTTCTTCTGGCGTGGTTTTGTACCCACGAGGTGTTGGGGCTTAATGCCCACTTTATGGACATGGGAGGCTGCTCCCTACCTTGCTGCTGCGGCCATATGGCTGCGGGCAGGCGAAACTTGGGGGCATCCGAACCCCAGGCCTCCGAGCTTGGGCCTGCACGTAGGATGATAGCCAAAAGACTTTGGAAATATCTGAAGCTCCAGGCGGGGTGGAGGATGTTTGCCGGTTGTAGGGCCACTTACGGTTCTGGACTGACTCATGGATTTGGACTTGATTTGGCTTGGAACATGAAAAATTTCTTTAAAAAAAATGTTTTAGGCCACAAGCCATCTGGATCCTAAATCCCCTTTGCTAGAGAAATACCTCTTGTGGAGAGATGAGAAAGCTCATGCCACACCTAGGGTGCCCATTATAGAGGACACTCTGAAATGAATTTCAGCTGCTTTCAGGTTTGTTTTCTGCTACTCTGTCCTCTATTGATATGAAACCGGACACCTTTGTCCTTTATTTTTCTCTTGAAGACTGGCAACCGCACTGTCCTCCATGATGGCCACCCTAGCCACACCCCTTCCCAGCCCTCCCACAGTGAGACCATTTCACAGCTTTCAGCAAGGCATGGGGGAAACAGGAATGAATCCATCCCCCACTGTGAAGGAGGTTCATAGCAGACAGCTAGGCAGGGATCAGAGTTCCTAGTGTCCTACTCACTTAGCCTGTGGTCTGACTTCTGGACTGGATTTCATCCTGAGTCATTTTAGAGGCAATATAAAGGATCAAAGAGCATCATCTTCCTCACCTCACTTTCCTTGTCCTGCAGACGGAAATGCTTTAATTGAATCAGCTGCTTCTTGCAATCCCATTTCACAGCAGAGATGAAGCCTCTGAGAAATAAGAGTCCCGAGTTCCAATGGAAGCAGAATGTGAAGTGGATGAGTCATATCATAATCTGGTTTACTGTTGAAGTGTTGCAATGCAAGGCTATGCAGGAAGCACTGGGGAATCCAGGACAATAGTTAATTTAGAACCAATGATCTTCCCAGCAGACACAATTTTTGCCCTACTTGACCTGCCTGTCATTGCATCTATAGTCCCCCTGGTTGCTGAAGCCATTGTGTTTTGGGATCTAGAAAATGCTAATCAAATGCCAAAGTGAAGTGACCTGTTATTTATAAGGTGCTAGTCTACTAAATGCCACACAGAGAACTGAGATCATAAACAGCAGAGCCAGCAAGTGAGAAGAGGGCTCAGCACAGGGCAAGTTTACTTGAGAAATGTATTGCTACTGCTGTTTAGTTACACCTGGACTCTTACAAGGGATCTGTGACAGCCCCAGAAGAACCCCAACCAGCAATAATTTCATAGATTTCATAGATTGCATAGACATTAGGGCTGGAAGGGACCTCGGAAGATCATCAAGTCCAGCCCCCTGCCCAAATGATGATGACAATGAGCTAAGCTAGCTGCACAAGTCCTCTGCGCAAGCTCCTATTGTACCAGTTTTCCCCAGAAGAGGCAGAAAATGTCTCCCTTGTTGGTACATTCTACTTGGGTGATAAGCCACTTCTCACTTCCCCATTTCCTACAGAGCCTCGGTCTACCCACAGAAACGGATGGCCAAGACTTTCGGAAGCAGCTGCTGATTTCAGACACTCAGCATGACACAGCTTGAACGGCCGGATCTGATCTCCCACGGTTCTGAGAGCCCATCTCCTGGGAATCCGGGCCGTCAAATGGTGAAGATGAAGTCCCAGGATGGAAGCAGCAGACACTTTACCTGCTAGTCACCCAGTATAGACAGACTCATATTGGAGGTTTTCTCTTGTCCCTTGCAGGGCTTTGGCCCAGGTTGAAAGCACAATTCAGTAGAAACGCTCAGGTGATTATGGCTATTTGCATAAACAGAGTTTGCACGTCTGATCCCTTTACCAACCAGAGACTAAATAACTGATTTATTGTGGCAACACCTGGGGAATCACAGCATTGGGGAAAGGACAGTGTCAATTCACAGACGCATTCTTGCTGCAGTCTGGTCATGTTGAATCTGAGGATCATATCACTGTTTGCATACAGCGAGACTTATGACTCTTGATTCCGTCTGAGACTTTCGCTTGGTGCAGAGTGAGACTGAAGTCATCCCTCATACAGCAAGCACCACAATTTGGATTGATGTAATTGCTGTTTAATGCATGGCCTCTTTCCATAATACAGCACTTTCCTTCTCCTTTGTTCTTCAGTGTGTCGTGCAATTAGTTCACCCCTGATTATTACATCCTGAGCTTGCATGTCACGGACTCAAGGGATTTGGAAATGATTTAATGATCTCACGGTGATGAAAACAACACGAGCCATTGCACACATTATGCATCTGCACGTCTCAGGCATGTCAGTCCTATTTTTTCTCTCTGCTTCTCTTTGCTTGTACCCTGAAAATTGCCTTACCACGTAACTGTGTTGCAGCCTCTGTGGCTGCCTTCTGCTCAATCCTGGGATGTGATATAATTAAAGGACACAAACACAGCATAAGAGATAAGCAAGAGGTTCAGGAAACCAGGCTCCTGCGAGAACTGGAAGGCAGTGGGGAGCAGGTTGGAGAACTCTTATAACTAGCTGGCTGATTCAGAGCAGCTCAGCTGTGACCAAATAGCAGGCAACCGGGTGGTCTGTGCTAAGTATCTTGGTCAGGGCCGGACACAGGCATGAGCAAACCGGGCAGCTGCCCAGGGCCCAGACAGAAAGGGGGCCCAAAAATGGTGAAAATAATGATTATTATTATCATTATCTCTGATAAAGGGGGGCCCGATACTAAAAGTTCACCTGCCAGGAGTCTAGGTACAGTGCTGATCCTGGTGGTACCATTGCTAACCCATCCTGCTGTATTCTTGGCAGTATAAGGGAGAGGACTAGGAGACTGCACTATTCTCTACTCTCCAGACTGGGCTTTGGGTCAGGTACTCAGCCCTGCTCAGCCAAAGCAGTGGGATTCCCAGGTGAGCTCTGACCACTCACCTCCAGACCCTGGCTGCACTGTGTAAACCCAGGGAAGATATGCAGGGATGAAGCTAGACAGACCCTTCCCCTTCCCTTAGAGGGGAAGGGTCTGCAAAGTGTTGAGACCCCAATCATGGGCCACTTCCTGGCCTGGACTGGATATAAGCTTGCCTGGTGGAGGTACTAGGGAAGCTGTGGGATCCTATAGACACCAACGGGGAAACAGCAGCCTCAGGTACTTCCAGTCATGAAAACAGGCCCAAGCAAAGCTTTCTTGCATGTTTGTTTGTGCAAGCCAGTGATTCTCAACCAGGGATGCCTGGAGAGCTTTTCAAGGGTGGCACAGGGTGCCACACAATGTTAGCACTGGTAGGTGTGCCAATGGAGGGATTCACAGGACAAACCCAGAGATTTCAAATAGGAATCCATGGTGTTAAGTCCACTCTGACCCCTTGTGGTCTTTCTGAGTTCTTTGCAACAGCAGATTGTTCTATTATATTTTTCATTGTCAGAAACTAAGGGAAAGCTAAGAGCTGGAATTTTCTGAGGGGTGCTTTGAATATATCAAGGGGTGTCTCAAGCCTCAAATGGTTAAGAACCACTGACACAGACAGACTGGGGACAGCATTTAAAGAGCTTAGGCCTTTTCTGGCTGAACCCAGAGCCATTTCCTACCCTACCCTGTAGCCTGACAGCAGAGTGATTAGCAGTGGGATGATGGTGCTGAGATACCCGTG